TTTTTTGTAGGTGTCACAGACAACTTGTTTTAAAATCAACCAAATGTGTTTATGACACAAACAATTTGGGCATGTACATCCTTGACGAGTAGATGAAACAACTTTGCTTTTTTAAAACATGCACATATAGGGCGTGTTTAACATTTAGCGTTTAGCGGGTTATGTTAGCAGGTTATAAATGGCGGATTCAGTCAGCGGGTTTGACCAGCGGAATAAGTTGGCAGGTTGCCAGAACTTGTTTGGTAATTTAACTATTCGGCCATAAGAATTAGTATAAAATGCCATTTTTCAAAGCGTTAACTCAAAACTCTCTTATTTGCTGCGTTTTCATTTTAGCGGATTTGCCTAAAAACGCTAGAGTCGAACAGGTATTACCAAACAACGTTTTCAATTATCAAAAGCGCTAAAAGTGACCAAACCATCATTTTATGGTTGAAACACCATTTTCCAAACACCCTCATAATATTAATCTTACTCCGTATTTCATAAAATTTGTCAATTTATTTTAGAGAGAATGATCAAATATACCACAAAGCTAGTATGTTAGTATCTTACAAAACATATATGCTTATATGTTTTGACATAATTAAACACAAAAATTATAATGTTGAGACAAATATGCTCTTAAATGGTATACTAAGAAATGTTTAGCCCGTATTAGATATAAAGAGCATATGTGTCCCTTGAATATTTGGAGATGAGATAATATTTGTTCCACCTTTACCGTTTAGTGTATGAGCTAATAAAAGTAATTTACAGTATCACGTAATGTCAAATAATAAGATTAGAGACATTTATATGCACCATGTATTGAATGCACGAACGAATATGAGATCTTATCTATGAGACATCCATAACCCATTAACCCTAGCGGCGGCATCCATGAGTAATGCCGGAATAGATCGATCGAGAGGTTAGGACGATGCTCGAGTCTCACATCGAATTCGGTAACAAGTCTCTTCGTTCTCATCTCTGATTTTTTCATTTTTTTTTCTCCAAGTTGGCTTCGTTTTGGTGTGCGGGTCAGTTTTTTCCCATCTTTTGGTCCGACATTTTGATTTGCCGAGGATCCAATTACGTTCATTTTGAACGATGCTTTTGAGTGGTTTTGCTGATTGGTTTTGTCGAAGGGTGACTTCTCTCTGTTTTACGCTGTGAATTTTGTGTTTTTGCCGAGGGTCTACTACATGCTCGGTGAACTGTGTTTGATCATTTTTTGTGGTGTTATTTCTGGAAAGGGAAAGTTGTATTTTCTCTTTGTGTTTTCTGGAGTGCTTTGGTTGGTTTGGTAAGAAGCTTTGGTGTTTGGTTTTTTATTCAAAGGTCGCATGAGGAAGTTTATGGGGAAGGATTACACTAAAATGATTATACAGGAAGAAGAGGACATGGGGCTGGTTTTTGCTAGTGATGTTGTAGGAGAAAGATATGGATCAATGACAGTGCCACGCTTCCTGGCAATGACGAGTGTGGTGACGGACAAACCTATTTGTTCTATTACATTTCGGGCAACCATGGCGATGGTCTGGAGGCCCGTCAAAGGTGTTTCAATTGAGGAACCGGGGGATTCAAATTTTTTGCTGCAGTTCTACCATGAGGGGGATATCAATTGAGTACTTCAGGATGGACCTTCAAAAAACATTTGATAGCAATACGCCGTCTAGGGCTAGAGGATAGACCTTTGGAGGTGGCGCTATATAAGGTTGACTTCTGGGTCCAAGTCCATAACCTACCGTTGGGCTTTATGACACAGAAAGTAGCTCGTGGTATTGGAAACATTATCGGTTCATTCATTATAGTGGATGAGAGTACTTTGGATGATGTATGGAGATCTATCTTGCGGATTCGAGTGGCCATAAATATAAAGAAAGCTTTAGTTCACATACTTCAAATAAGAAAGGAAGGGGGTAATTGGTTCTGGGTAGAGTTCAAGTATGAGCGGCTTTCACAATTCTGCTTCATCTGTGGAATCGTGGGACATGTTGATCGTCTTTGTCCATCTAACTCTCAATCTGGATCCTGGACAGGAGAGAAGCCATTTGGGGCTTGGATGTGTGCAGATGTGAGAAAAGGAGGAGTGCATCTGGGTAATAAGTTGATCCCCAGTGGAAGCGGAATCACTTCAAGTAGGGGAGAGATTAAAAATGTTTTGGAAAAAAAGCAGTGCGAGTGTTGAGGAGATATAAAGTCTACAGTTGATGAATTGCTTTCTAGTGGTGACGGTATAACTGATCCTCAGGAGGAAGAACTCGGGAAGAGCAAAAAGACAAATCCGAGAAGTAGAGAGGATACTCATAACAGCATGGAGGTTTATGAGAAACATCCAAAAAATGGACAGGTGGTGGTGCCAGAGGGACAACACTGCCTGTCATATTTAAGGAAACTATTGGAGAGGAGAGGAGCTTGATGGTCAAGCACCAGGAAAAGCTTGCGTGTGGTGAAGAAGAGGCATTTGACTCTTTTACTGTAGCGATGGCTGGTCAAATCACGACTACCTTCCCAGTGGCTGGAAAAATTGGACTCGATGTGATTCTATTATTCCTTTGGAGGTGGCTGAACAAACCTCTTCTCCCTTCCCGGTGGATGGTCAAGTCGGAATGATGTCTTTGGAGGTGGTGGATAAAACCTCTTTTCATATTTCGAATGCTTGTTTTTTTACTTTTAAGTCATAGTAGAAAGTCTAGCAATGCTGATAGCTTAGCCTACCATATTATGGAGTTAGCGATCTGGCACGGCCTCCCAGGACTAGCTAGTTCTATGTCTCGCTTCAGGTTTGCTCTGAGTTGTTGCTCTGCGTTGTCTACTGTTACTTCAAATATTATGAATAAATGAGTGTCTTCCTTTCAGGAAAAAAAAATCTATGAGACATCCATTTGATTCATTGAAACATATCAACGTTGTGTTAATATTGGTGAAGGGATGTGAGAAATAATCGTCCTACTATGCGTTTCGATCGGTGAAATGCTAATCGGTGTTGTTTCGTAAATAGATGTCCAGCCCTATTATTTTTTAACGGAATCTCGGAAGTAAAACTGTTGCAAATAGTAAAGTTTCTCATTTAGCATTTTGAAATATGACATTAACTACCAAACATTGCGACCAAATAGCTAAATTATCAAATATTTGTTTGCAACCGGCTAAATCATTTCGCTGGTCAAAACCAGTGTCTGAATCGGCAATCAATAATGTGCAAACATAATCTGCTAGCTGCTAATAGTCAAACTCGCCCTATAATTACAAAAGTTTCAAATGAGATGGTCAATTTTAAATTGGTAAAATTCCCGAAAATAGAAGTAAAAAAGTTTGAGAATTCTAAAGTAGAATTACCGTGTTTTTATTTCCTAAATAGGAGTAATCACTGTCAAATTTGGAAAATACTGCCGTGTTTAAAGTATAGTGCTGCCAAAAACTAACAGTAAATACTCCTATTTAGAGAATAAAAATGTGATAGTTCTATTTTGTAATATACAAATTAATGTTTTAAGTCTTATTTAGGGTAATTTCCCTTTTCAATTCAACCAAATTTTGCGCTACATCCATACAAGATCACATGCAAATTAATTGAGTGAATTGATCTCACTTTGAAATGAAAATCGAGTTAATTTATTACTAAAACGTAGACAACATGCACACATATGATTATCATTATTTTCATCCAAAGTATAAGGATGTTTTCTTTTGGACTGAAATTTGCTGGTCTGGTCTGCTCTGGTCTGGTCTGTTTAAGTCTGGTCTGGTCTGAACTGGTTTGGTCTGGTAAACGTCTGGTCTCTGTGTATTTTATAACTATCCAAGTCTGGTCTGGTCTGGTCTGGAACTGAAAACAGTCCAAAAAAAAACATCCTAACTCATTTACGCCTAAATGAGGGAAGTATGATGTGTTTAATAGAACGAAACTTCTTCCAATCTAGGAATAAAACTTTTTTTTACTCCAGGGGGCCTGGGGAGGGGTCTGGAGTAATCAGGGCTGAAACTCACTCCATTGATTTTCAAATCCTTATGTTCCTAGCGAGTTTCGAACTCGAGACCTCCCACTAGGCACGATAACCTCAAAATCTAGCAATAAAACATACATACTATATACTCATTGTGCATTTTATCTATCTTTTACTCTCATTCAAGGCAATTAGTTTAAAATTTTGTATGTATGTCGCTACAATTAGCAGTGGAAGCAATTTTATTCTTAAAATAGAGATTTCCCAAAATAGGACTAAATAGAGTTTGAAATTCTATAATAGGACTACTATGTTTTTGTTCTCGAAATAAGATTAAGATGTCAGTATTTACTATCATCATTTAGTCATGACTGCCAAATAATTGCAGTATTCAACATGAAAAATTTATTATCATTAAGGCTAAAGGGTCAAATAGGTACATGAACTAACCTAAAGTGTTCAATTAGCCCCTTATATAGGAGGTTCTGCCCGGCCGTCGCCAATTGGGGCGGTTCCTGGTGGATTTTTTTGATAAAAATTTTTGAGCATCTTTTTCATCAAGTCTAGTTTACCCATACCAAATTCAGCTAAAAATTCAACCGGGAAGGCAGACAAATGATTTTTTGAAGATAACTGTGCAGTTAAACACCACAGTACATTTCGGAAAATCATTTGACTGTCTTCCCGATTTAATTTTGAGCTGAAATTTGATATGGGAAAACTAGACTTAATGAAGAAGATGCTAAAAAAATTTCGTCAAAAAATTCAACCGGGAACCACTCCAATTGGCGACGGCCGGGCAGAACCTCCTATATAAGGGGCTAATTGAACACTTTAGGTTAGTTCATGTACCTATTTGACCCTTTAGCCTATCATTAATGACAATATTTTTCAATCATAACAATAGCGAATTTTATTCCGGAAAGAAAAATGATCCTATTTTTGAAATTTCCAAAGTTGTTTATTTATTCTTAAATCTACAAATGTAGTGGAGTAATTTGTAAATTAAAATCAACTCTTATATTTTTTACGGAGTATTTATTTAAGTTAAAAAAAATAGAAAATGCTTGTCGTCCGTGCTATATAGTAATTGGAGATATTTCAGAGAAAACAGACCGGTTACCGTCAAAGTGAGATAGAACCAACTCTCTAAATCACTACTCCACCACGTCTAACATTCCGACGGGCTCTCTGAAAACCCCCCACCATTGCTATGGTCCAAATAAGCAAATCGGCGACAAATATGACTAGAGAATGAGGTACGGAACCTTCGAAGTCCAATCATCATGCCAGTCCCCAGCTCTGACTGCTTTTCCGACCTGCTCTGCGGGGAAGATTCCGGTAGCATATTTTCCGGCGGTATTGAAGAGGCGCCAGAAGTTTCTTCGTCGGAGAATACTCAGCCTCCTCCCCCCGAGGCCGACCTCGATGAATCTATAGCCGGACTAATTAACGACGAACGAAATTTCGTCCCCGGAGTTGATTACGCCGAGCGATTCAGTTCTCAATCACTCATCGCTGCCGCCAGAGACGGCGCCGTTCAATGGATTCTAAAGGTATCAAATGCTTGAATCTGATTGTACACTTGCTTAATCATGAATGGTGTGGATGTTTCCAGATCTTCACGGTGGAAGATCCGCCGCCGACCGCGCGAGTAATAACTCCGCCGTTGAGGTCGTGTGATGAGCGTTTCTTATATCGGTTTTGACGGCGGCGTGGCTTAGAACGTTCGGTTGCGCCGCCAGTTTCTAGTGATCAGAAACCCCAATTTACGGCGGGTAAATTCAGATCTTTCGGCGCCCAATTAATCTACTCCGTATAATTTTTGAAGATCGGGAAAATGACGGGTTCACGGCTGACGTTTTGTTAAACTCTGTTTTACACTTTTATTGCTGTTCCGTGCAGGTCCAGCGATATTACGGTTTCCAGCCACTGACGGCGTATCTTGCCGTCAATTACTTTGATCGATTCCTCAACTCTCGCCGCCTGCCTGTAATATTCATATTTTACGTAACTTTTAAATTTTTACTTGATGAAAAGGAAAATGATTATTTAAAAATAGAAATAGTAAACGTGTTTTATTTTTAATTAAAGTCCTTATTAAGGAAATAAATATCTAAGAGATAACTTTTATTTTAGAATATACGGAGTATTGTTTTGACACTCTCTTACATTGTCTAATATAGATTTGTTTTTAACAAATAAGAAAGTGAGACTTTAATTTAGGAACGTTCTAAAAAGCAATTGAGACTTTAATTTAGGGATAGAGGGAGTAGAATTCCAAAATATGATTACTATATTTTTTTCTTGAAATATGAATCATTATTGTCATAATTGAAAATTATTGTCGGGAGTAAATATTGTCATGTTAATACTAGTAATGTGATTATTTTGGTGATTATGACTTTAAATGTTGTCATATAATTCCTATTTCGGAAAGAAAAGCATAACCATATAAATGTTGTCATCTCCAATGGTAAAATGTGCACGGTGCACATGTGGCATGAGAGATAGCCACATAAATATTAATAAATTAATTATTTCTCTCTTTATTTGAATAATTCTATACAGTTTTGGTAAGTTTTTCTCCACAATGTCAAGGAGACCGTCTAAATGTTGACATTGCAGTTGACATTGCAGGACAAAACATACCAAAATTGTATAAAGTCATTCAAATAAGGAGAGAAATAATTTATTTGCTAATATTTATGTGGCTGTCTCTCATGCCACATGCACCCTGTGCACATTCTATCATTCGAGATGCTACTAACTTTTAACTTTGACAAAGTGTTATGTACTAACTTTGACAAACTTTTAAATGCGTATCCTAAAATATAAAATTACTTAGTGGGTTATTTATTAGTAGTTTCCTAAATTAAACTATTGTAGCTAATTAGTGATGTTTGGGATATATCAATGAATGTCCATTTGTTCCTCAATTGATCATAATATATTTATTACTCGGTATTACTTATTATTATAACTAGTACCCCTCATCGTTTAGATGGAACCCTCTATATAACGTTATCACACCGTGCATTTTTATGTCACAATTATTTTTCAGCAAAATATAAAACATACTCGGTAGTATATCGAGTACTCCGTATCTTTTTTGCAGCGTTTCACTTGTAGGTAGTTGGCGGTTTAATTTGGGCAAATCCGCCAATATCCATCACGCTTTCATCTTTAAGAATATTATAATCTTAATTAACTAAAACTCCTGTACTTTGTACAAATGTGCAATTAAAAGCGTTCGTGTAAAAACTAGAAAGCAATTAAAAAGGAAATATTACTGCACATTTGATACCTAGGTGTCAAATTAGAAGAAAGTGACTTTTAAAACAGATTGGAAAACAGATTTGAAAAACCTAGATAAAATCGATATTAAAAAAGCGACATACTGTGTGTAACAATATATACTACTCCCTATGCCTTTGTGGTTTATGCAAAACGAAAAAAGGAAAGAACAAAAGGTATCTATATTTTGCAAATAAAGGCAAAAAAAATTATGATGTGTGCATTCTCACTGATTAGGGCTCAAATTTTCGTCTTAATCGACGATTTGACTTTCTTAAACACTTTGTAAAGGACTTTAATGTTAAAGTAGGGCCAACTTAGAAGCTGTTCTCTTCGCCTGATCTGAATGTTTCTGATCTGAATTTTTTAAGTTCTGATCTGATCTGATCTGAATTTTTCTGATCTGATCTGATCTGATCTGAATCTTTCTGGTCTGATCTGATCTGATCTGAATCTTTCTGATCTGATCTGATCTGATCTGAATCTTTCTGATCTGATCTGAATGTTTCTGATCTGGTCTGATCTGATCTGAATGTTTCTGATCTGATCTGAATCCTTCTGATCTGATCTGAATCTTTCTGATCTGATCTGATTTGAATGTTTCTATGATTATAATTATGATTAAAATTATAATTATAATTATTATAATTGCAATTACAAATATAATTTAAATAAAACTATAATTATAATCGTAACTATAATAATAATAATAATAATAAAATTAAAATTAAATTTAAAATGAAAAAATTTATACCTATTACACTAATTATAAATATAGATATAATTATAACTGTAATTATAATTGTAATTATAATTACAATATTTATCTCTATAATTGTAACTATAGTTATCAATATTATTATAATTACTCCGTAAAATAATTACAATAGTAATAATAATTATTATTATTATAATAAAAATAATAATTATAATCATAAATTATAATTATAATATAATTATAAGTATAATTATAATTATTATAATTATAATTAATAATAATTATAATTATATTAACATTAATTATAATATTATAATATAATAATAGTACTATAAATACAATTAATATTATCATAACGATATTATTATATTAATATAATTATTACAATATATTAATAATAATACGATTATTATTATTATTAGTATTATATTATTATAATATTATATTATAATTATAATTATAATCATAATTATAATTATGATTGTAATTATAATTATAATTATTATAATTATAATTAATTATAGATATAATTATAATAATTACAATTGATTATACTTATAATTATAAGAATTATAATTGTAATTATAATTATAATTACATATAATTATAATATAATATTATAATAATATTAATCATATTATTATTATTATATTGTAATAATAATAATAATAATAATAATAATAATAATAATAATAATAATAATAATAATAATAATAATAATAATAATAATAATAATAATAATAATAATAATAATAATAATAATAATAATAATAATAATAATAATAATAATAATAATAATAATAATAATAATAATAATAATAATAATAGTCTTCTTAATAATTGCATTTATATTACTATTATTATATTAAAATATTATAACTGTTATTAATATCTTATTTCTTTATCATATTATTATTAATATATTAATAATAATTATACAATAATAATAATCATAATAGTAATAACAATATTAATAATAATAATTAATATAATTATAAAAGTGATAAATCATGTTTGAACTTTTCTGATCTGATCTGAATGTTTCCGATCTGATCTGAATGTTTCTGATCTGGTCTGATCTGATCTGAATCTTTCTGATCTGATCTGAATCTTTCTGATCTGATCTGATCTGATCTGAATCTTTCTGATCTGATCTGATCTGATCTGAATCTTTCTGATCTGATCTGATCTGATCTGAATTTTTCTGATCTGATCTGATCTGATCTGAATAAAATAAGAATAAGCAATAAGTAATAAGAATAAGACGAACAGAACAGCACCTTAGTTAGCTTTGTAGCTTGATATATTCGTAAAAGTATAACGTTGGTGTGGGGTACACTGTACACGAACATATCTTTATACCCATCATCTTTTTGAATAAATTTAAAATTGCTTTTATATATCACCCTTTATACCATCTTTATATGCATAAAACTGTTTGAAAAACCAAACACAAAGTTGTTTGTATGAGAATTTGGCAAAGTAAAAGCTGGATGAGAATATTATGTTTTCTTTTCTAAAAATTCCCAAATTAATTAAAAGTAAAAATAAATAGTAGTTGAATTGTACAATAATGTCACTACTTAGTGCCCACTACTCCACTAGTAAGCATTTTTTACTTTTGAATTTTGTCCGGTTGTATAAAAAGGTCAGTTTCTACTTTCTTTTATCTTAAAGTATAGTTGCAAGTTTAATTGAGTTAGCTGAAATTCCGGAAATTAAATGTACATTTTTTTTCATTTGGAGATTATTTGATAAGTATTAAATTTGTTATGTTTTATTTCAGATGATAAATGGTTGGCCGCTGCAACTACTTTCTATTGCGTGCTTGTCATTAGCTGCTAAGATGGAGGAATCGCTGGTCCCATCTCTTTTACATCTTCAGGTAATTCTTCAATTATATGGTCCATTTAATTAGAAAAGCAAACAGGGAAGCAAATGTAGCAGAATTTTGGAGGGAGGGGTCATGTTGACTTAAATCAAACATTGGGAGCCTAGCTGATTGGTAACACTTGAATCGGCTCAACCGCTCAATCGATCCAATCGGCATGGCTGAAATTGTAGTATGAGTTTCTTCTAGTTGAAGTGACATAATTCATTAAATATACCGGCGTACTTCTTCCGTCTCGGAAACAAGTTCCCGTATTGACTTTCACACATTTTAAGTAAATGAAGTTATTGAGGGGTAAATTTACTGTTTTGACACTGTTTCGACTCTGTTTTGCACTTTTTTGATGTAGATAATTTGCCAAATAAGAAAATGAGAACTTAATTTTGGGACATCCAAATAAGGAAAGTGAGAACTTGTTTCCAGGACGGAGGGAGTATGAGAAATAATATATTCAAAATATATTTTATTAATGAAATAAAATAAAAATTGTATGAAAATAACTCAAATGGTCAACTATAGTAACTTCTAACAATTTAGCGTGAAAAGTAACTTCATTTTTACCTCTTTTGATTATCACACAATTATATTCATGCACGAAATCAAATACTTCTATACGTGTTGTATTTGAAAATACTAAATTATCTTTTATTCTCCCCGGGGGTCGGGGGGTCTAGGGGGCTAGAGTAAATTGAGATCAAATTCACTCCATTGAGTATTGAATTTGGTACCTACCATAAGGAGTGAGTCGATGATCAATTGAGTTGAACCGCTTCCCCAAATACTAAATTATCTGTGTGTAAAAAAGTAATCATATTTATCATATTTCACTTTCATTCTCTCAATAACATTACTTTGGATTTTCTTTCTCATACTCCGTACTTACTAAGCATCCTCGAGACTCGACTCAAAATGTTTCTAAATTGGAATAAAATTTTATTTGGTTTAGTGTGATTTGATTGATCTGAATTGGTTCGGATTGGTCTAATAAATATCTGATCTTGTATTTTATAGGTGTTCAAATATGATATGGTCTTGTAAACACCGCACTTTAGTTAAAAATATGAATATGTAAAATCAAGCTACATATTATAATTATATTATACTCAAATGAATTGGATTTATGACAGGTTGAAGGCCCAAAATACACATTTGAACCAAAGACAATACGCAGAATGGAGCTTCATGTGCTGAGTGTATTGGATTGGAGGCTAAGATCAATCACACCCTTTAGCTTTCTCGGCTTCTTCGCGAGCAAGCTTGATCCAACAGGGACCTATTCGGGATTCTTTATATCAAAAGCCACCGACATCATTTTGTCAAATATACGAGGTTTGTATATATGCTTTTATACTTTTTCCAATTTATCCAAAAATATATGCTTTTATATAATAGCATCCTTAAGACCCCAACTATTTATGAATCAAAATCTCGTTTTTACCTCTTTTCTCAATGATTGGAATTTTATTTTTTGGGTAACGTAATTTCATTTTAATTCCTTATTTGGAGTTTGATTTTTTACCGTATCTGACTTTGGTCTTTAACATTTATAAATATGTAAATTTTAATCATATATATTGATTTAATTTTTTTGACTTTCAACCATAAACAAATAGTTTGTGCACTAAAAATTTGATGATTATTTGTTCATCAAATTAAAAATATGTTTGAAATGTCAGAGACAAGCTTTCTTGAGTACTGGCCATCATGCATTGCTGCTGCCACAATGCTTTCTTCTGCCAATGATATTCCAAATTTCTCTTTTGTCAATGCTGAGGATGTTGAATCATGGTGTTCTGGGCTCAAAAAGGTTAGAAAATACTCCGTATACTCCAGTTCCCCTCCCAATTTTAACTAGTCATTTGAATTTTGGACTTCGCCAAAGTATATAGTTGAAAATTATTAAATGAAAGAAACAATTCGACCATATAACTTTAAGGTTAGGTGGAAGAGATTATTCATAAATGAAAAATAAGGATTGAACGATAATAAATAGTTGTGTTTCGTTCATAAATGTCAATTTCATAAACCAAAGGATTATGCTTTTGCTTCTTTATTAAAACAGAATCAGAATCAATTTTCAGAAGCTAGTCTCCCTTAGCTTCTAAAATAACCGATTCTAGGAGTAAATTTGGAGCACCAGAATCACTTCTACACTTTCAGTCAAACACTCTCACTTCTAGAAGCAGTTTTAAGAATCAGATTCAAATACCCCCCTTACTTATCTAATCAATTTGACCATATTAGATATAGGGGATGTTTGGGTCTGACTCTTAAAACTGCTTTTGCTCCTTAAAGGAGCAGAAACAGAAGTTGGAGTATTTGGACCAAAGTGCAGAAGTGGTTCTGATACTTTAATTTACTACTACATTCAGTTTTTTTAGAAGCTGGGGGAGACCGACTTCTGAAAACTGATTCTGATTTTGCTTCCCTTTTAAAAAAGAAACGGAAGTGGAATCAATTCCAAACACCCCATATACTACCGTAATGCACCTGATGGGCTGGGCTTGATTGAGATGGGCATTGTTACTCTAGATTGGGCCAGCCCTCCAAGTTTGAATAGTTGAATATATGTTTGAATTTGGTTGCTCAAAATAATACGGAATTACAACATTTACCGTGCAGGAAAAAATAATTGATTGCTGCCAATCAATGCGGAGAAATGGGGCCATTGGAATAAGGGCAAATAGATTTCCAAGAGTTTTACCGGAGGTCAGAGTTATGGCTAGGCCGACAACATTGTCAAGTGACACGTCATCCTCCTCCCCCTCTTACAAAAGGAGAAGACTCGATAATATCCCTTGGAGCCAAGATGGGAGAAAAACTTGATGATATGGTTGACAAGTTACGTTTTTTTTCAATTAATTCAAATCCTCAACAATTTTTCCTGGAGGGGAGGTCAAAATAATAAAAAACAACCAAAATATGGAAATAAAGTTACCTGCCGAAGTGATAATATAGATAGATTACATATTATATACATGTCTATTTTAAATATATTTTTATCTTCTAAGAATGCTTGATTTTTTGTTTTGTGTTTTGGAATTCTTTATTTATACGTATTAATTAGAATTCCATATCGCCTCCCCAAGAAATAAATGTTGGCTTTTGAGTTGCACATTCCCTAGGCGAAGGGGTTTGGTACATACATAGTTTTAAGTTTAATAATGCATAATTCATCCAGCTTGAAAATTTTGAGCCGTGATGATGATTAAGAAACAAGGGAAGCAACACGTGTCATCATATGATATCAAAGCCTGCCAGCTGGCATCCTCATGACCATCCATCATCACCGTGTGAGATCGGGACGGTAATGAAATCTGGAGGAATAAATGAAGAATAAGATATGGCATCCCTTATCTTGGTTTTGATAGGTTTCTTTTTTGAGGAAACAATTGTTGAGTAAACCCTTCTCATTTTTTTGAGTGTATATTTAATACGGAGTATCAGACATTCAGGCTATCAGTAATATATTGTCTGACTTTTTGGCGGGGAACATACCTGTTTTCGTACGTGTTTGCGGAAACACGTGTTTGGATTCTTTTAATGTGGCGATCGTCATCTGTTTGTACTGGTTTCCAATTCCTTCCATCGAATGACCCGCTTGAATCGTCGATGCAGACTTTTTGCAATACCCCGCCCTGAATCTTGATTGCGTACGTCTCACAGAAGAAGTAGAGCCGCTGACCTTTTGCAAAAATTCGCCCCACTCATTGACAGGCCTCCGCCTCCCGGCGGCCGTGTTAAGACCCGGGATTCCATCCTAAAAAGATCAACCTCATAGGAGGAGGAGCTCAAAGCCTTATATAATGGAAATTCAGTTGTTTTATAGCTTTCCGGTGTGGGACAAATGCTTCAACACGCCCCCTCAGCCCGAACCAGGCTGGACAATATCGTGGTGTAAAAACGGGCCACACAAGCCCTTAACAAGCAACCCTTAATCATGGGTGCTAAACAAGCCGTCACATCACAACCGGAATTGGCTCTGATACCATGTTAAGACCCGAGGTTCCACCCTAAAAGGTCAACCTTATAGGATGAGTAGCTCAAAGCTATATATAGTGTTAAGTTGTTTTATAGCTTTTCGGTGTGGGACAAATGCTTCAACAGGCCGCTACTTGGTAGAGCCGATAGCGGACAAAGAAACCCTAGCGGAAAAAAATCGCCCTCGAGACATGCTTTGGCAGTATCAGACTTTAAACGTGGCAGTATTTTCCAAACTTGACAGTAATTACTTCTATTTTGGAAATAAAAACATGACAGTTTTTTTTTTTAAAATTTACCAATGTTTTTGGTCCCCTAAATAAAACTTAATCTATGGAACTAATTAAATACTGTGCAAGTCTGTAGTACTTATTTCGAAAGAATCTAATGTGAAATTTATGTGGCCGTTGGACACACTTACTAAATGTGGAAATAAAAGAAAATAAATTTTCTGACCTAATGAACCATCGGATTTCACCATAATAATCTTGTGAGAAACAACCTTAGCTTTGTCATGAGACACTTTAATGACCTTAGCTCGATTCTGTCGATGTTATTGTTATTATTATCCTACCAATTTACCGTTTTCATGTTCCCTGAATAATAAATACGGAGTAATAATGTACCATTATTACATTTAGAAATAAAGAATAGGACATGGCACATGCCTGAGCCAGCGGGTTTTGTAAATGGACAAGTGCTCTTTTACCTCCACTGCCACATCTTAACATGCTCACTCACCTCAATGACATGACCATATTACATTCTTGTGGAGGCCAGGGGATGAAGTTATTATTGCATTAGTTGAATACTTAGAATACATGCTCTCTCCATCCCGGAAACAAGTTCCCACTTTCCTTATTTAGATGTCCCAAAATAAACTTCTCATTTCTTTATTTGACAAATTATCTACACTAAAACAGTACAAAATAGTGTCAACCAGTGAAAAATCGTCTCAAACAGTGTCGAAACAGTAAAATTTACCCTTCAATAACTTTATTTCTTTAAAACATGCAAAAGTCAAACCGGAAACTTTATTTACGGAAAAATACTTGCAAATATCCAATCCTTCTAGCTAATTGCAACTATGGATATATATCATTTTGAATCGAGGATATCTGAGTGCTATGTAAGCCTCTCAATGGGTCAGGTCTATACCTATATCCGACCGGAACCCGGTTAGTTTTAAACTTTTAATGAGTATGAGTCTATATTTTATTCAATTTATCAAGACCTGGATCCAACCCCGTTAGTATTTTTAATAACGGATCAAGTACAGTACATACGATTCTGACCCGTTAAAGACCCAAACCCATTTAAAATGTCTTATTAGTTTATATGTACAATTGTACACACACTAATGCATAACGTGATTAGTTATAATACTTCAAATAAAAAAACACAAACTAATATATACACATATATATGTGCGTACACACACATATATACATACTAATACGTACATAAAGTTATTAGTAGTAATTCTTCAATTACAAAAACACACTTTAATACATACCTACTGTATAAGTGGTACTGATCGAGATAGTTAAACACCCTAAAACTAATACCCATTTTGGCCGTTTATACATACTGATAAAGTGTGTATTGGGCTCGATAGGCAAAACTCAATATTTGTTATTATCAATATAATTATATCATTATCATATATAATATGCTTTATACTCTCAAAAGTCTAAGAGATCTTTTTGTGACTTCATTTCTTGTCTATTCTACGAGCTTTCTCTGCGAGAGAAAGAAAGACAGAGAGTTGAGTTATACGTCTCTACAAGAACCGATATTTTATTGGATAAAAGTATTAATTTCCTATGAGAAACCTTGAATTTTTTGAAAAGTGAACATATATTTTTCTTTTAAATTTGCGCACTTTGCTTTACATTTTACATACATGTCTTGTTATTTTCAAAAAGTTTATAATAATGTTGTGCATATCACAATTGGCGGGTCTACAAGATCCGGTCCCGATACCCGTTGGGTCTGGGTCCAAACTTTAATTTCAAACCCTTTAGGTATACGGGTCGGGTCCGGGTCCTTTATTAACTTAGCGGGTTCGGTTTGGAACACTACGTTCTGCCCGAATCCAATCCATCGGCAGGCTACTTCAATATGTCTTGCATTTGGATTTTGGATCAAACACATTTGGTTAGGTCTTGTCTACTCCCATAAAAAATTTCTTGAGTTGACTTACATAAAAATTTAAGAAAGTGAGAATAAAGCAAAATGTATGATTGTAATTGAATAACAATAAATGAATGAACGTTAGCCGCACAAAACTTTAATTTCCAAAACGAGATGAGATTTTCTAGATATCCCAGATAAGTGAGAAAAATTTTATGGGACAAAGGGAGTATTTTTTTTCTAGCCTATATATGGGGTCCAAATTCAATAAGGAATGATCTTCCCATACAAAATGCAAATGACTTTATTGAGGTGCACATACTAGTGCATTCATATTATTTCCGTCGTCCACTTTTAGACATATACATTACACTTTTAAATAGTGGAAGTGCATCTTTTGCAATGAAGAATTGTTTCAATTTATTTACGAAAAGTTACCGCATTTTTCATCTACTTTAATGCACTTTTTCATATTTGGAGCTATTAGATCATAAATCTGATATTCAAAATTTATTCCTATTTTTCATACGAAAGAGTATTTCTATTTGATCACACACATGGGCGTAACCAGGACCGATGTTTACCCTGGGCCAACTATACACTAAAATTCTAAAAACATTATATAAAAATTTCAAAATCGACAATAGTGTGAACATAATGATTAAAATCCATTAAAATTCATAGTAATATTCTTAAACAATACATACAATGTTTGAAACTAAAACGTTAACTGAACACAAAGTTCTTTGACCTTAGCAAACTCATCTATGATAGACTCAACGCTGATTTTCTTAGCAAAATCCTTTTCAATAAAGATGGTCAAACGATCGACAAGAAATCGATCTTTCCACTAGTAGAAAACTGTCTTACAGTGACACTTCTTCAGTGACACTTTTGTCTGTAGTGTCATTGATAAACGACATATAGTACTAATAACATATAAGTGTCATAGTTATGTGACACTAAACCATCTATACATAATATTGACACTATATTAAAAAAGTGTTGAATTTAACCTTTATAAAATATCTACTTTTGATTTCCCTCCACAAAATATATTCCTGCCATCTATTTTTAGTAACCTCTCCTTGGCTTTTCCATCCACTCGTTTTTTTCATATTACTCAATTAGCCCAAATTATTACTTGGTCAAAATAAACTTGGTCAAAATAACCTCTCCTGGCCTTCACTCTATTCCTTGAAACCCATCGATCAGGAAGAACCCTAGATAGAGCTAGCGACCACTTTCCCTCTATCCTTCGATCAGTAAGAACCCTAACAGAGCGATGTTGATTCTCTGCTAAATAGACTCGTGTTACTGTTGAAAGCTGCGAACAACCGGGACGGCTCTCGATCGTCTGGCCTGGGAAGAACATCACGGTGCGGATCTCCTCGTTTGGACAGGGATGAACATCACGGCTCTCGATCAGGCACGAACACCAACCTATGTGTGCTAATCCATCTTCTACGAATCGATTGTGTGTGACGAACACCAAGCTAAGCCACCTGCGAAGCTAAGCCAGCCGCGACTAACACCTGCTAAGCCACCAAGCTAATCTTCTATCAAGCTCTTCAAGAAATCATCTCCCTGCAGGTATAAACATAATTATGTACTATGTTTTGTTCTCATTAGTTAATATTATGAACAGAGATAAACTATACTAAAATTTGAGAAAGTATAATACGGAGTATATATATGACTGTCCAAAATGAAATTTTACGGATCGAAGTATTCGTTTAAACACTATAAGATATAAGAGAACATAGTGTTAACACACGTACCTTCAATATTTTCTTCTCTTCAATCTTGATAAACTCTTTTCTTAAAGATATAAGAGGTCAAATTAAGTATTGCGTATATTCCATAAAGGTCAAATTAACTATTTTCTTTTTTTCTTTCTATGCAGATGCAAGGACTGGTTCTATATAGCACCACAGATGGATTAAGAAGATGGCAAGGTTGAATGGGCTATACACCTCCATCTCCTCAAGCCTTCAATAGCAGTTGTCCCCTATTTCGCTAGAGCTGGTGTCCTCGTTTGATTCTTGATTACCTCATTTAAGTTTAATTCTTAGCTTTTTAACTGCAATAGTAGGATATTTTAAAATCTAATTAATTTATTTATAAGAAATTTGTGTATAACTTTTACCAATTGACTTAATGTGTTGGTTATGGAAAGTGAACTTATGATAGGCTGAGCTATTGAAGGCTTGAGGAGTCATGGGAATACAGGTAGCCGAGCTACTATATGGCATGATGATGATGAAGGCTAATGTTTAAACCTAACATTGGTTGGAAATGTTTGAATATTAGATGTACTCTGATCTATTTTGCAGGTAGACCCCCAAAGGTCCATTATTCTTTTATCTATATATTAAACTGGTCTTTCTC